CTGAACCAAAACTTTGAGTTCAGGTTCAGTTCAAATTCATAAATTTAAAGTTTAGTTCAGGTTCAGGTTCAAAGATCAGCAAAATTTAAAGTTCAGTTCAGATTCAATTGAACTTGAACCTGAACCTAAATTGAACTGAACTGAACTTCGGAACACTATTTTGATATAACCTTTGATCCAATCTTTCACTTAGTAAAATATTCAAAAAAACAAAATCGGCAAAATATAAAATATATAGAATTGTGTACTAAACAAATTTGCTTAAGAGATCAAAACAGGTTATCTAAGCAGAAAAAAAGTTTTACATAGAAAAACTGAAAATTTTGATATTAGTACATAGAAAACTTTTTTTTTACTAAGATAACCTTTTTGTACACTTAGACAGAAATTGTTCAGGATATAATTTTATATAAAATTATTGCTTTAAAACTGTTAAATTTTTTTTTTTGGCAGAGTTATATTTTTAAATTGTACAAAAATTGCAAAATTTTAATTTAGCTTCGAAAGTATTTTATTCTCCTCTTCTTGATGTATTTATTTGTAAAATTTAATTTAAAGTTAATATGTAAAAGAAGAAACATCTCGGCTTCAAAGTTTATAAGTAATTCTATATGTTTTTGTTATAATTTTATATATATAAAAATCTCTATATGTAAAATTTGTGACAAATCGGGTAACTGATATAGTAATCTACTTAAAGATTTTATATAACATATACTACAATAAGCAAAGTATTTATTTATATATATTTAAAATTTTTTTTTATATATAGTATTTAAATGTTTAATCATTACTATATATAAGTAATGTCTAAAGTGAAGCAGATTCTTATACTGTAATATATATATATTTTATTAAATTAACTCTAAAGTTAGAGTCACCTTAGATTAGAACTAAGTTAGTTTTAGATAGTTATACAGTATATATAAAAAATTGTTTTTTCAACATTTTTACCTATCCGAGGTAGATTTAGACCGTTGTTTTTTGTATTTTTCAGAGGTTTCGCTTTTCTTGTTTGCTTCGCTTCAAAAACTCTATATTTTGATTAGTCATGCATCACGTGATTCAGCTCTAATTTAGACGACCCCTTTATATATCAATATATATTGCTAAAGCATAGCAAAGGTTCAATATGATTGGCTATATTTATATAATAATTGTTGATCATTTTAAAACCTAATTATTTAGAAAAACATGAGTTTTACGCCAACCTTGTGCATATGACAAGTTGTAACACCTATTAAATTTACCAACAATGAATTCAAGCAACTTGTTCAAAGAGCACTTTTATTTTATTTAAAACTTTGGAATCGCATGGGATCGCATGTTTGACAATGTTCTCATAGAAGCTAACATTTCTTTTTTTTTATTATCTTTTTTTTTTCTTTTTTTTTTTTTGTCATTTTTTTTTTCTTTTTTTTTTTGCTGTTTTTTTTTTTTTTTTTTTACCAATTATTAATAGCATTAAGTGCTATTAAAAAGGCATTACCTTTTTCTGTCTTTACTTTTGTTATATTGTCATCATTGTCTTCTTCTTGACTTGGATCCTCCAATTTTTTCTCTTGTTCTTCTTCTTTAGTGAATGTATTGGGTCTTTTTTTCAAACATTTTACAAAACGATTAATATTATAGTAGATCTCTCTTTTATAATATTCTTTGCAGTGGCAGCAGCAATATTCCATACTTGTATAACAACTATTATAGTAGCCATGTCCACAAATTAAGGTTTTGCCATCATTCTTCAAAAGCTTGTGATAATAGTCACAGAGATTAGGCTGTGGAAAGAAATTCGAACTTTAGCCCGTAGGAAGACATCTTATATCCACAATTTTGTCTATAGTAGCCAGATAGTATTTGGGTTTATTTTTTTTTTCATAAAGTTTGCTTTTTCCGCAGTTTTTAAAAATTTTTTGCAGGTAATTCAGAAAGAAAAGCCTAGTTTTTTTAGTTAAAAAGTTTAATGTCGAGAAGGTGTAAGGATATCGTCTTAATTGAAGAAAGAAGTTTCACAATTCATCTTCACTTTGCATATCTGTAATGTAAAAAATTAGTGTTTTAAACTTTAAATAAATAAATTAATTAAAAAAAAAAATTTTAATTAAAAAAAAAAAAAAAAAGTATATACATAGGTATATACGTATATATATACGTATGTACCAATTATATAAGCCTGTCGTATAATACTTTTTAATGTTGAATTTGGGAAGATTTGTGCACGAATCCTACTGTATAAATTTTTAACATAATATTCGTTAAAATTTACCAAAAAAAGTTTAATTGCTTCGCTAAATAGGTGATTATTGTCTTGCCAGTAAAATACGTCAATAAAAATGCAAGTGGTGGCTTATTATAATTGTGGCACTGCCACCATAACATAAATGTCCAGATTCGGAATATTGTCTCTAAGTATTCATTGAACAAACCAGATTGAAAAAGGATAGCATAAATTTCTAACATGGTAGGAATCAAATTATCTAGAAGATCTAGAACTATACAGTATTCGATGTCTTTGCAATTAGATCCGAACTTTTCTATAACCTTTTCTCTAATTTTATACCATTCTTTATGCGTTAATTCAAATAACAAATTAATTCACCATGGTCTAGGCTTCTTAGCCAATTTTTTTTTTTTACCAAAAACAAAATGAAACAAATCTTGAAAAAAAAAAAAAATTTCATTACTACCTGTTCTCGACTATTCAAAGATATATGTAATAGTCCTAATAAGGGAACAAACGAACTAATCTCATGAAAAATATTATAAAAAAAATTATTTAGATTGGTAATTGCTTTATGAATAAAAAGCTGATCTGGCCAGTCTACTACAATAGGAGCTACCCGATTATGCAAATGTTTGGCATACTTATTGATTTTCAATACAACTTGTAGTATATCCACATAATCAAACATCAAATGCAAGTTTTTTTCTTAAAACCCAACTAACTGTATATTTTTTATAGACCGCTCCTCCTTTCGCTCTATTATCGCATCATCGTAAACGTGAATTGTTAACAAATCTATTGGATCAAAACTATTTTTTTTAAACCACCAGATGCAATCCATTGTAACCTTTGTGTTTCATATAAAACGTCTAATATTCCAGTATATTGGTGTTCTAATCTAAAACAAATATTACTCGCATCAATATTAAGCGAATTGTGAATATATATATTATTAAAACTAAAGGGAATTGGTGCACACGTCTTTACTGGTTTGCAAATACATGTTGCCATGTGCTTGGTCGTTGATAGTGATACTGTGTCTGGGCGTCTTTTCTCATAAATATTATGGTAATCATCCAGATTATAGATATATAAAATATCTATCTAAAAAAAAAAATAATAAATAAGTAAAAAAAAATAAAATAAAATAAAAAATAAAAATAAAAAATAAAAAAAAATAAAATAAATGAATAAAAATAAATAAATAAACCTACATTGTTTGTAAAAAACTGCCGAATGTTTTGAGGATGCTTCTTTACAATTTTTTTTTTATAATTGTTAATTGTTTTATAGCATGTGGAGACACCCAATTTATGCAATGTGTTAATGCCTACTGACGACAATCCAGACGCTGATAGGTACAACCCAACCTTCAATTCAAAGCTATTGGCAAACTTGTTTCTTATGTTGGGCATCATATAACAGATACTAACCACCGATTTTTTTGCTTCCACTTTGTCAGGAATTAATGCTTTAACCATTTGATCAAAAAAATCCATGCAGACGATGATCATAGCTTTCTATCATTAACTTAAAACGAGTTGGATCAAGTTCAACAAAACCGGATTGCTCATGCTGATGTTTATAAAGAACTTTTGTAAGAATTTGGATTTGTTCCACGAACGTAAGACTATTATTAGGAGAAAGATTCTGTGATATTTAAGACTGGTATACTTTCAATATTTTTTTGTTTTATTTTATTAAGTGGGGTTTTTTTTGAATGGCGGTCAGGTTCTACAATGTCCAAATAGTGGCTAAAACAAACTTCTTGTCCAATTTTTGGGTCACCATAATACTCTAAAGTTTTTTTTTTTCGTGCTTTCTCATATGCTACAGGTGTTATTTTGCGAAACTTATTTGAAGTCCTGTTACAATTTTTTATAGAACAGGGACCATCGTATTTTCTGACCATAATATGAAATTTTTTTTTTTTGTTTAATAATGTTCAGGCTTTATCGTAATAAACTTCGAACAATAGTGAAATCTTGATTTCACCAAACTTCCACGGCAAATTATTTTCTAACAGTAAACTTGTGAACCATTGATTGCGCAGTTCTTTCGACGGTCTTTTTTTTTTTTTTATTGTTTAACCTTAACGGAATGTTTATTCCAATGAAACCGGTTTAAGCAAAACTCTAACTTAATAATCCGGTAAAGC